AGACCCCACGGTGTGACAGGAATCACACCTGACTCATCCCTGTCTACTCTGCACCAGCACTTCCACACAGATTACCCTTAATGCACCATCTCCCAGCAAGGATGTTACAGAGATCACAGGTGCCTGTGCTTTGAGACCCCACAGATGGGAGCTGGAGTGACAGTGCCAGCATGCAGGAAGTCTCTCCTGTGAACAGCTGCTGTTTTACATGTACAGTCATATTTGTACAACGAGAGGCAGAGATACTGCAAGTGAGCAGTGCTTTATGCCTGGTGCATGACTGATGGGAGTGCCCATCCTGTATCACTGGCTGCCCACTCTGCTTTATGGAGGCACATGATTTACCCTCTTCAGTAAAAATAGAGGAGGAGGAAATAAAAATCTCAGCATGTCCCCAAAGAACTGTAGGAGATTAAAATTAAATCTATCCATTACACTCACCAACTAGGGCGCTGTCTGGGCAGGAACACTGGAGTTGTACACCTGCATGTTCAAAGAAAAGAAACTGAGTATTAGAGAAGTGTCAGAGGCAATCCAGCGCCCCACAGCAAAGTGCTTCAGGTCGTAAAACAAGCTCACAAGACTTGGAAAAACAAAAAAGGAATAACACTAAACTAAGCTGAACAGCAACACTGCTCAGCACAGCTGCAGCACCTCTTCTCAACCCTGCATCAAAGCTTTGCTTCACCCTCAGTTTAAATTTTGTCTGACACTTCTGCTCAGGCCCAGGTCTCAAGAACGCTTCTGGGTTTGTTCTGGGACGTGCGTGTCATGTTCCTACTTCCTTCGCTGTGTCCTGTAAGCCTCTCCCTGTGTTCCTCCTGCTCTAATGTCCAGAAAGAACATTTAGACCTCACTACAGCTCTGGAAGGCAGGACAGTAAAAAGCAGCTTACCTGGAGGGGCAGGGAGCCAGGCCAGCAGCAGAGGGCTGAGAACAGAGCTCCAGAGACAGGAACAGGCCTCCCTCACAGCCACTGACACTGCAACAAGGTCGTGTCTCTGAGACCGGCTGTGCCCAGGGCAGCTGAGGGACACAGAACAGGTCACCCCCACCACGAGCCAGAGAAGTCCCTCCATTCCTCAGCCGGCCCTGCACAGTTCTATCCCTCTCTCTTTGCTCTTGGCCGCTCACCGAGTACCTGGAGGCCGAGCAGGTACATGAAGACAGCTGCAGCCGCTGAGGAGCGGCCAGAGGGGCCGGCACCGCAGGCAGCTCCGGCCACAGGTGACCAGCACTGCTTGTTGCTCCAACCAAAGGCTGCCTTTGGATCCCACCCCAGGGCTTGGGAATTAAGTGGATTTTAAGCTCTGCAATAAAAGAATGTTGTTATTCCTGGAAGGGGGTTTGCGCTGCTTGCTTGGATCGCCTTAAAGTGAGCCGGTAGTTAGGCTGACCAAGGAAATGCACTACGGTCTCCCGGGAGGCTCAAGGAGCACCATGAGAGACACCCCGGCCCGGGCAGTGGGGTCAGCCCAAAGCAAGGCAGGAGTCCTGCTCAGCCTGGCTGTCCAGCACCGGATGTTTCAAGAGCCCCAGCCCAGCAGGGCATGGAAATGCTGCTCCCCAGGATCGCCTCAGGCCGCTCCGCAGCCAGGGAACCCCGCGGGCCGGGCGGGCCCTATCGCCCCTCACGCGTGAGGGCGCGGCCCCGGGGCCGGAGCTCGGCAGGTGGCACCAGCCCGGCACATCCTTGTCCCTGCAGCACCTGGAAATTAGACAAGCTCTTCGTGAAACCAGCTGGAAGTTGCTCGTACAGAGCCGAGTGCAGAGGCCACAGCCCGGGCCAGGCCGGAGGGGAGCTCGCTGTGTCCGGCCGGGGCTGTGGGCAGAGCTGGGAGCTTTGCAGGGAACAGCCGCCTCTCCCGAGCCTGCAGCTGCCTGCGGGAGAACTGCAGCATCGGCAAGAAAGCATTTTTCTGCCATTCCCATCTGCATTGAAACAGTGTCAGACAAGGCTTAAGGCTGCAAAAAACCACTAGGAGAAACCAAAATAAATCAAGATCTTGATTTCCCATAGGAAATTTACCTAGATCCCATTTATAGCCCATTTGCCCTCCTCCTTATGTAACTTCTCTGCAGGAGAGGAGCAGAAAACACAGAGAAAATAAACAATTTGCTGCAAAGAATTGGTGCAAGAGCCTGAGTCACATCGAACAGTGTGAGCAGATAACCTGAGGCTCACTGAACACACCGTGGAGAACAATGCTGAGATCAACAGCATGTCATGCATGTACAAACTGGCCCCAGGTAACATGACTAAAGCAGAGCACACTGTGCTTGAGAAATATGCACAAAACCTACACTTTGGAGTTTATTTTATTAGTCTTAATGGCCTGATTTCCACATGTCTAATTTCCTTTTATTGAAGCTGTCAGAGGCACTACATTATCTCACATGCGTGCAAAACCAGCATTTCAGTGGAGCTCATACGGACTTTAAATGCCACAGCTGAAGAAAACAAGCCAGTGGGAACTGCAAAGGGAGGGGGCGGGAGCAGAGTCCAGAGCACACCTACAGGCAAAATCTCCAAAGGCTTCCCAAACAAGCCGAGCGCAGTCTCTAATCAGAGAGAAAGGATAGGTACTTCTCCAGCAAGCTGGATGATTCACTGGAGAAGGGCAAGCAGTCCTGCTGCAACAGAAGGCTGGTGAGTAATTGATGGCTCGTTCTAGGCACAAAGCTGAGTCTCTCACCCCGGTGCAGAGCCACTGCCAAACCAGCTCTACCGCCAGGCCCAGGGGGCAGCAGCACCTGCACGCTGCTACTGCAAAGGTTTGAAAGAAACAGCATTGCACGCGTATTTTCACAGGAATTCCCCAGTGCTGCTCAGCTGTCCTCAGTTACTCGTGCTCACTGCAGCTTTTCATCCTCATTAGCGCTCTGTGACAGGGAAACACATCCCAGCTACAGCCAGGTAGCCTGTGGGGGATGCATTCTCTCTCTCGTGGGCATGCTGCTGGCAGCGATCCTGTGTCGTGCACCGAGTACCCCCCGGCTCCCTGCCCGTGGTGCACTCACTCAGCTCCCCAGCCACTCTGCTCATCTCATTTCCAAAATGTGAAGGACAGTGGTGGCAAAATTAACTGCTAATGGCCAGAGACAGCCTTTTACAGCTGCCATTTGGACAGCAGGAAATCACGATATTTTGGCATTAAAAAAAGCCTGCTCCACATTTTGTTTCCCCAGCCAGATTTCTTTCTAAGTGAGTTGTTCATATCCACATGTGTGTCGTGCACAGCAGGTACAAATCACTACCGGCCAGGGTGCCGGCAGAGGGGAGGCTCACAGGGCATTATGTACATGTACTGTGGCAAAGTCTGACCTTTATTTCAATGCTGCACATCCTCAAATCATGGGAAGCCCGGGGGAAGTACTCAGCTGCTCTGTACATATAATAACTGTGATACAAAAGCAGCTCACAATATACAGTTTAAATAAGGAAATAGTCATTGTAGCTGTGTCCACAAATTTACAGGGCTACTTTTCACAGTAATTTTAACAATAACAACGTGGCTCAACATCCCTAGGCTATGCAGATGCACAGTGAGGAGCTGGTGCCCCAAAAACCTGGTGCACAGCCTTTCCCAGTGTTCCTGCACAGGGGTCCTGAGGCACTGGGCACAAACCCACCCAGGTCTGCTCAGAGACATCTTGCTACACACACACACAGACACACACACACAGAGTCACACTCACATGTGTGTGCACAGAAAACCATCTGGCACACAGGCTAAATGACACACCTCAGTGCCCACTGATGGCTGCAGGCCACATGGCAGCTCTTAGTGTGACATGAAAATATTCCCTAAGTGACCCCTAGGAACATGTCTATCCTCCCTGAGAAGCAATGAGTCTGTCTCACCGAGTCCCCAGAGCCAGGGCCATCTGCACTTGGGCAAACAGGGAGGCCTCCCCCTTCTAACAGGAAGATGAAAAGAATCCCTGCTTGCATGGCCGTGCACAGGCTGCTTCCTGAGCAGGATGGGACTAGAGAGGAGGGAGGTGGAACCATTCTGATACCTGACAGATCCCTACAGACTCCCAAAGAGTGGTGAGATGATTTCACACACTCACAGAGCAGCGCAGGAACCACAACTATAAATTATATTCTCCAGGGGTGGCACGGAGCGGGAGAAGAAGTAAGTTCACAGTGGAAAACTTCCCTCTACAGGAAGAGGTGGAGTGACACAGCAGCACTGCTGTTCATGGCCCTGCTTCTGACAACCTTGGAAAGCCCCAGAGGAGCCCCCACATTCCATGAACAACCTCCCTCCACCCCCGCAGAATGAAGAGTATCTCACTGACCTCGAATCTAGGGCTGACAGAGGAGGGATGGGCACGGGGACAGGAAGACACCACACACAGCCTTGCTGCTACTTCTCCTGCATGGAACAAACTCTCCCCTGCCTGCACAACCCACTGCTGTGCTCCAGACATACCTTGCAGTGCATTTTACTCTCATCTGCTGCTGGAAGAAAGGCAAGACTAGCTTTACTCTGACTATACTAACTGAGGAAGCTGCTCAAAGTTCACCAGGATTGCTTGCTTTGCTCATCTTTGCAATATTTTCTACAGCTTTTTGGCCACGTGGATGGCTTACTGGAAGTCCTCAGCCCCTATCTCCTTGCACCAAGTCCCAGGAGGAAGGGATGTTGGAAACTGCCAAATGCGAGGTGCCAACACTAAGACTGTGAGTTCAGCAGCTCTTTAAATACTGTTCTTGCAGACCTGTGGTTTCCTATTCCTGGGATAAAAAAACCACTACAAAACATATTGAGCCTGACCCACAATGACATGGCTGGGGCAACCACTGCTTGTGAAATAAGGTGAGGGTGGTTGTGCAAGGAGACAAGGAAGTGAAGGTGTCCCATGCTACTGCTTGCAGCAATACCTCTGCCTAGTGTAGGCAAAGCTTCACAAGTCCAACACCCCGGAGCAAAGTCAATCTCATTTACAATTTTCTTTCAGTTTTTTTCACTGGGAAGGGTCCTCCCCATTCACCAGCAGGCATAGGGGAACAGAGGGTACTGGCTCCACTCTGCCATGGTGCCATGGGCATGTCCTGGAGTTCCTTGTGTGTTGTACTCCGTGGAGAAGGCCGAGTAGCTCATTGCCCTGTACTGGCTGTGGGAAGGCACCACCCACTGCCCCAGGCCCTGCTCGGTGCCATAGGGACTGTACATGGGCGCCCGGGCCCCAGCTTTCCCCACAGAGTCCAGAGTCATGTTCACCACTCCTGTGTAGTCCTGGGGAGGAGGCAGAGGTGGGGGCAGCGGGGGCAGGTTGGTGAAACCCTCTGGGAGCTGTTTGGAGTCGTGCTCGGGCACCATGGCGAGATCCAAGGCATGGCACCTTGCCCGGAAATCGTTCAAGGTCGCAGCATCGCGGCTGGGAAGCTGCTGGCTGTCCCCAGCCTCATGGAACCTGGGCCCAAGGGCAGAGAGAAGAGAGAGTCAGACCTAGCAAGGTGGAAAACCACGGAAAAAACACAGAGATCCCCTGGGGAAAGGCTCTTCCCCTTGCCTACTGCTTCATCTTAGTGTTGCTGTGGATTTTAGCCCAGGTCTCACTGTCACACTTACAGAAAAATGAAATGCCAGAGAAGGTGAGTCCAGACTACCTTAGTTCTGGCTAAGTTCTAGTCTGGGCTCACTCACACACAATTTTGCAATGAGAAAGGAAAAATCACTGGAGTCTTGCCACTCCTCCAACACTTCCTCCAAAGGACAGGTAAACTCTGTAGTACACAGAGCTGCCTGGGAGAGGATTTTGGGACTGGGAAATAAAGAACATTACAAAGACACGAGCATGCCCAGAACCAGTAGGTTTGAACTAGAAGAGAAAGGCTTTCCTTGGACTTATGCACACTAATCTACCATCTCTCAACCACATGTGCTGTCCAACAGAAAGGCATCTTCCCCTGTTCCCAACTGGTTGTTTTTCTTAGGAAATACCCAGCAGAAGGAGAGGAATCCCACCAACCAAAGTGTGGCTTTGGAGCAGAAGGTGGGACTCACCGATATGTCTGGTAGGACGGCGTTGGCACTTGCTGCTCTCTGGCCAGACCCTCCCTCTGCTCAGCAGGCACTGGTGAGGCTGCAGGGAACGCCTGGCTGCTGTTCTGCTCCGAGCCCCAGAAGGGATATCCACTGCTCACCACCACTGGGTTACTCTCTTCCTTCACATCTACATTCTCATCCTTCTCAAAATCTGACTCAAAGCAGGGAAAAGAAAAATGGAAAAGAATGAGAAAGGGGAAGAGGGAGGCAAAGCTCACAATGGTCTATTGGCAGTTGCAGTAATCACAGGATGGTGGAAGGAAAAACACTGCCACCTCCTGCAATCCTTCTGTCCTAAGGGAATAGCCCCTTCCAGCTCTTTTCTGCCCAGATACTGTAATGGTCAGTCCTGCCCTGTCCTCTCTCCTTAGCTCTGCTACTGCAAGCAGCACCATGAGATAGAGCAAGGAATGATTTAACTTAAAAAACTTTCTGAATATCATTCTCTGGGTTTGTTGTGATCAATATTACCACGTTCCTCAGCAGCAGGCTCCTTTTCCTCAGGCAACTTCCTCTTCTGGCTCTTGGTTGGACTGGGCTTCTGGCATTTGGCTCGTCCTTCCCTGGAAAGAAACAAGACATGGGGGTAGCTTGGATGTAAGCTTTTGCCTAAATACATAGGCAGGGATGCTATTAGGAGGAGAAAGAAAAGCTGTAACATTTTTAAAGTTTAAGTAAAAAAGAGTCTTTTTTACTTGGCCTTTTTTCATCAGGAATTTTTTTTTTCAGGAGATTTTTTTTTTCAGGCATAAAATAACACAAAACAAAATCTCAAATATTTTCGTAACATTTTCTGCTTGGGAAAAAACTCCATTTTTTCCTTCTCTAATGCCAGTCTGAGGTCGCAATTTAAGCTCTTTTTTTCATCTCATCCACTGGCTGCCCTCAGACCAAGCAGAAGATCTCACTGCTATTGGTATCCATCTTCCCTCTTGCAGACAAAATCTCCCACTGGAAGAGACACTTTTCCACCCACAGGAAAAGAAGACAAGGGAGCTTCCAAATGTCAGAACCAAGCTGATCTCCAAGAGACCAAATGGTCTGCTGTGGACTCCTGTTATCACTGCTATTCACATGTCAGACTCCAGTCTAGCTCCAACATGCCAGGGAGTGCAGGTCTCAAATTTGTCACACCTCCCACATTTCTGTAGGAATTGTCACCTCCCACTCCCCAAGTCTCTTGAGAAGAGGCTGCAGAGAGGGACATCGCTCCCAGATACAGGGAAATGCAGAGTGCACAATGCAGCAGGCTCAGCAGAGCTGGCTGGCAGAGTTTTGCTCAAAGACCTTGGGTAAAATTCACAAGTGAATTCCAGCTATAAACAAATTCAAATGAAAAAACAGTTTACCTTCGAGTGTTCTTCCCATGTTCACGGAAACCTTTAGCAAAGGGATTGTTGTCAATCTTGAGCTTTGTAATCTTTAAACGAAAGGAACAAGACTCAGCATCACAGTGACTGGTTGGGTTCTTCACTGTTCCAAGACCTTCACCTCAGTATTTATCACAGCAGATAACTGTGTGGGAGTTTTGGACATGGCTCTGCCACAGTATCTCAGCTCTCCCAGCAGCTCCCATCATTGATCAGGAACTGACCCACAGAGAGAAGTGACCTTGCCAGGGTCAGCAGGGCTTTGGGTGGGATTCATCTGACTGACAAATACAGAGGTGAGCATCTGTATCTGGACCTGCAGACATACTTTTTACTGTATTTGGAGTTCTGTGTCACTGACAGTGCACTCATCTCATCTCATCACAGAGATGTTTTCCACAGGAACCACAATGTGCCTATTTCTTCCCACTGTCCACCACAGGTGCCTGGGATGAGCAGACAGCAAAGAGACACCTACCTGCTCGTTCTGGTAGGCAGTGACAGAGGTGAAGACAGTCTCAGGGAAGCTGAACACCTGGAAGATGCTCCAGCGGACGCTGAAGAGGTCATCTGCCTGCACGATGTGGAAGCGCGGCTTGTAACGGTGCATGGAGTGCAGGATGATCTGGGACAGACAAAGGACAAGGTTTCCATGTGTCACCACTGCCAGCACATTGCAGATTCCCTCTGGAGACTCTCAGGACACCCATTTCTAACCAGGGACTCCTGCTGGGCTTGGTGTCTCCCTGTAGTGACAGCACAGACCTGCACCTTCCCTAGCAGGGAGCTAAGAGGGCACAGGGGCCGGGCTGAGGGAGGAATAAAGGACATGTTTTGGATATGTTTTGATTTCTACATCATTTAATTTCTCCCAAATCCTGCCTATTTCCCACAAAGTTCATCTGCAATGAATTCCAAGAGAGTACAGCACAACCTACATGCCCATGTTGATCCAGAGTGTTGTTAGTGAGCTTCAGTTTTTGGAAGGAGACAGGTTCTTTCATCCAGTGGCTGCCAGGAGCTGGGGAATCTGGGTGGACATAGGTGCGACAAGGGAGCTGGGGCTCTGCTTTTCCAGCAACTTCCCACTGGTCTTTATTCCACTGTGAAGGGACAGACAGAAATCTGGAGCTTAAAAAAATATGCTTTTAGTACAGAAAAGGCCCAGCAAGTTTGCTTCCCAGTCAATTCAGTGCACTCCTCTGAAGCACATGTAGCAGATTCTCTTTTACAAGCCATGATCATGTTACCAAATCAGCTCCAAGTTTAGGCCTCATTTTTCCTCCCTTTCTCCCAATGGCTGCCAGAAAAGTCTGACATTAATCATGATTAAAACTGTACTGCTTACAATGAAAATTAGTTACCTTTCCAGCTGCTCCCCAAGCAAAACTGACAAATAACTCCAGAGAGGCATAAAATCCATCAATTACTTCTGAACTTTGTCCAAAGAGAATTTATTTATCAGTGTGACAAGTGAAGCATAAAGATTAAGCTATTTAAAACAGATGAAAAGACAGCATAAATTCTGTTATTTAAAGCACTTACCTTGTACCTGAAGTTATCCATTGGCACAAAATCTACCAGCATGAGGTACTTGGCATATGGGATTAAGCCAGAGACTTTGATTTTGCATTGAGGAAACATTCGTCTGAGGGAGAAATGAAAAATAGAGTATAAAGGTTTCTCTGTGAAGTGGCTGTAAATGATCAAGCAGCATGTCACATTTACTCACTGCTGTGCAAAGCCCTGTGAGCAGTATTTCTCCAGCCAGCCACTGACCATTTGTCCATCTTATTGATGGACTGTCTAGTCCTGTGAGTTTAGACATGATAGACACTAACAGGGCAGCAGTCACTGAGGGCCTGACACTGTTACTGCTTTTGGTCTTCCAATTCCTCTAACACAACAGTGGGAAACTTGAAAGGAACTATTTGGAGGTTGTACATGGTTCCTGGCCTGCTGCAGCTCTCACAGCCCTGGAGCATGGATTAAATCTGAGTGGGTAGAAAACATGCTCTCATCTAAGAGCACACCCAGCTTTCTGTTCCCATATTCCCTGCCACTACTTTTAACTTCTGACTCTGCAAAAAAGCTTTGACAGCTACCTCCCTACCCAAAGGGATTATTCCAGCTCACAGCAGCTTTGACACAATACTTTACAGCTTCACAATTCCATCTTCTTTCACTGCAAGCTCCATAATACATGACTCATTTATACTTCAGTGGAGTCTGCACACACAGATTGTTCCAAGTCTGGGCCACATTTCTTGTCTGCAAACACAGACTCAAACCCAAGCATTTACTGCTCAACTGCTGCTGCCTGTGACCTGGGCAAAGGGAGCCCAGGGCTCTTCCCAGAGCAACCTCAAAGTGACAGGAAGAACACCAATGTTACATGGTGAGATAAGGGTACAGGAGTTTTCTCAGCACGTCAGACCCACAAGTGACCTTTTGCACCTCACAGTTTGGACTTCTAGAACACCCTGAAAGTGCAATTCCTCTGCCAGGATCAGGAAGATCTGGATAATTGGCTACAAAACCAATTTAAGGGCCACCATTCAAAAAATGAGCATCTAGAGACTTTGACAACAGCTGAGAGGGGTGTGGTGTGTGCAGGCAGCTGTCCTGTGCCCCTTACCTGCCAGATTTGGTGATGATCATCTCAGTTCCTATCTGGTGAAACTTCATCCAGAGCCCCATGTCCTCGAGGGTGACCACGATGGAGCTCTGTGGGAAGGGCTCCAGGCTGGGGGAAGGAAGGGCCTCACACGGCGCTTTCACGTCTGGAAGGAGAAATGAAATGGTGACTCAGGAGGGGAACTGACCCTCGGGGTCTGGGCAGTCTGTGCCACAACAAACCTCTTAAAAACTGCTACTTTCCTTCAAAGGATTTTTGTTACTTAGTAGGCTGAGAGGTAGGGAGCCTTTTCCAACCGGTTTGGTTTTAGCTGGTAGGTCCTTTTGTGAGGATCTGCGTGTTGTACCAATTCATCCTAAATTCCATTGTTACAAAACCCACACTGGCAGGTAGCCACAGTCCACTGTTCTGGTATGATCAGGGTTACATAAAACCCTTTATCAAGAGAATGCAATAGAAGCTGAAAGGACTGGAAAGATTTTAAGTGCACCAGTGGGTAGTAGTGGAAAATGACAAGTAGGTGGTAGCAGAGGTGAAAAATCCCCCCAGAAGACAAAGATGAGACAGATAGGAGTCCTAAATGTAAGTGAAGGCAAGAAAAGGAGGTGACAGACTATGGATAGACTATATTCTGAAAAGAGAATGGCTGGTCTGAACTGGAAGTGGAGATGGGGAGCCCAGAGGAGCCTGTGAGAGGGTGGAAGGTGTCTCTTCACTAACACTCCATGGCAGTGCTGCAATCTTCCTGCTCTCCCTCTTGGGGGCACAGGCCCAGCTGTGGGCCTGGGGAAGAGGAAAGGGAGACCATTCTGGAGGAACTGCCTTTGGTGTTGACGCTACCAATCACCTCTGCACAGCTTTGGATTAAAAACATCCTTAAACCTTTGGTAGGTGCTCTCAGCAATATTGTAAGGCAGGCAAGATTGCTGCTGCCGTACTGAAAAGCCCAGTTCCATTTTAGGTGAGAATGTGACCCAGAACAGTTCTGGTGGGCTGAGTTCAGACCCAGCAGGACTTTAGGAACACTGTCCTGAGGAGGGATGAGGAGCCTGCTCGGTGGGGCACCCACAGCAGCAGAGCTGTCCCAGCTCAGGGCCAGCAGGACCTCTCTGGGTGCTGCATTAGCAGCCAGGCACAGCTATTTGCTTAAAAGGTAGATTTTTCTGCCTCTCAGCCTGATCAGATCTTATTCAGAGCATAGGAGAAAAAAAAGGGAATTTTCACCTTGTTACTTACAGCTTTCCTGAGTAATGCCTTCAAAAGAGTATTCAGAAAAAGTAGACAACTATTTTCAGAGAAATTAGCTTTTTTCACAAAGGGACGTCTTTTCACCAAAAGAACCCAATACAAGCCTAAGTGGTTCTTCCCTCAGGATTAAGAAGTAGAAAACATTAAAATGTAATTTTGTCTGTTTATAGAGGTCTTTAGGCATTTAAAAAAAAAATCCCCTACCCTTTTTTCTGCTTTGATCCAACATTAATGAACTGGCCAAGAAGTGACACCTAGTTTGCTCACCAAGATTAGCCTGTTAACATCTTCTTACTAAAGCTTCCCCCATATCCTCTTGCAAAGACATGAAAGCTGCCATGAGACGATGCATTTGGTAGCTCAGTGCAGCACATGTATCAAAAGGAGTTACAATAAAATTGGGCTGATTTCCCACAGGAGCCATCCAGTCACAAATAAATGCAAACAGGTTTTGATTAGCTAGACAGATGCTCACTCCTTCCCCCAAATGAATTTTCAAATTAACATTTCTTTGAGCAAATTCCAATGCCATTAAAAGAGACTACAACAAGGCAGATCTCAGGAGTCTTTAGTGAGGGGAGATTTCCAATGACGTTGAGGGAATTGAAGTGAAAAGAGTTCAACATTGAATTAAAAATCAAAGGCAGATGTTATAATCTGGATTTTACCAAAATGAGTCCACAACCCACCTGTAGGAGCGCAATGCTGCAGGAGGCAGGAACAATAAATGTTACAGCTAAGGTGTAGAAATGTAGTTAAAGCCTTTCACTGTGCAGATTTTGTGTGCACAGGCTGAGGCTGAAAAGCAGGACATGGACAGTCTGCAAGAGGACCTGGAGCCCAGCAGTGGTGTGAGGTGGTGAATGGATCTGCCCAGCTGCCATCAGCTTCAGCGGGACCCTGCAGTGATGGATCTGTTGTAGGCTCCACTTTGGATTTTGTTTGTAAATTTTGTTTGGATTTTTGTTTCCCTCCTAGTTTGTGCCTTTGTAACTGATGGCAAGGCTTAAGCACTCACCCTCCCACAAAGAGAGTCTGAGTGTTGGAATTATGGCAGAGAGATTTGAGCAGGGGATCCAAGCCCTGAATGGAATTTATGTGAGCTGTACTTCTATGGTTTCCTCTTCTGTGCAACTTGGTTTTAAAACCGTTATTATCCAAAAGAGATTTAAACCTTTTCCAGCAGTTCTACTTTTACTTTTAAAAAAATATTCCTATTATCATTGTATCCTGTTATCATGGTAACACCACACAAACATACATTCAAAAACATGTTCTTTATGTCCAGATGAGGTTGAAAGGTAGGAAGCTGCTATGGTAAAGGCACTGAAAATTAAGAGATCTTCAATCTATTCTGTGCTTGATGTGAAGGTCCTTATACCAAGGAGTGCTACAGTTTCTGTATCTAGAACAAGCTGTACGTATCTTTTTGTCATCTTGGGGACAGAAAGGAAAGAAGGAGAAATGTGAGACAATTCAGCAGTTTTAGGAGGAAGATCTCTGGATAGAAGATGCTGGACTACAACTGCCTCACCTAAAACAGTTCTTCAATTTATTTTCCATTAAAGACAGACAATGTTAAAATGTCAGAAAATTTGTTGCAGCCTTCCCAAAATGCGTAGGATAGGATCTGCAATACTAAATTCCCAAAAAGGGAAAAAGCTATGCTTACCTTTACTAAAACCAGGTATTATTATTACATTTGTTGCTGTTCCCTTCCAAGTGAAGTCAATCACTTACAGCTATCAGTGTCCACCAGGGAGGAACACGCATCAATATACAAAGCTTTCTAATAAATTCATCTTGCAAACAAGCAAAAAAACCCTCCCATGTTCTCTGATCTTCTCAGTGTCAGTAGAAACACCCTGACCCTCTGGAGGGAGCCCCATTTCTCAGATCCAGAGAGTTTTTTGGCAGGAACAAAAGTATGATGTTCTCACAAATGTAATGGCTTCATCTCTCAGATGCATCCAGTCATCACCTGGAACATTTCTGCTGGAGGGGGTCATACACCAGAAACAACCCAGTAAGAAAATGAGATGAATACTGCAATATTTGGAATCTTTAACATGAAAATACCATGATACATTCTACCTTTTTTCCATTGCTGCTCTTTTGTTTTTCAACTTAAAATTCAAGTGGCAGAAATCAGTACGAATCAGATCAACACATCAGGGACTGAAAAAACCCAGAGCAGCAGCAAAGGTGGAAATCGTCTAAATCACTGCACTTGCATTTTGCTCATGAATGAGACAACATCTTGCAGAGGAAGAGAAAGGAAGCTGAGACTGCCCAGTCACCTCTGATGGGCCTATAAAATGGGTCAGGATTTTTTTTTTTCTGATGTAGAGTAAAACCCCAGAGTTAATTTAGGGTTCAGTTGCCCTGACAAAGGCAGCACCTCTGGGCTGGCCCTTGGTGTCCCAAGGCATCTCTGTCATTGTGCCCAATCCAATCATGCCCCACACAGGAGAGATTAACAGCATGCTATGAGATGGATTGAAGGAAAACATCATGAAACCCTAAGGAAATCACAAAAATCCCGTGCTGGGTGTGAACCGGGGAGGAGCCGTCGATGCCTGACTGGGGTTCATGCTTTCAAAGGGCATAAGAAATAGGAAATAAAACCCCAAAACCAGACAGTTTGTATCAGAAATGTTACTAAAAGTATGACAAGTATTTGCAGACTTTCTGTGGCCTTCAACCTGAAGAATTCAGTGCTTTGCAGACAATACACAAACATCTCCAGCCATCAGCTGAAGGGTCACACTGCGCAAGGTGATGTGGGCATGGGAGTTTTGGGCACAATTGTGAGCAAACCTTTGCTACCTTACGAAAGATCTTCCAAGGCTCTCAAAAAACACTCAAATGCACCATTTTTCATCTACTCCCATGAAAAAAAAGAAGTTTTAAAATCCTCTCCAGCCCCATGCACTCTTCTGTAAATGCTGGTGAGCACATCTTCCCTTTCTGGCATGAGGCTAGGATCTTTCTGTGCAGTGAGAAAAGGGAAGGAGTCCTTACCTGGTAAAGCTTGCATTTTTCCATGTACTGTGACGTGGAGGAGCTTGCAGGGCCAAGAGAACCACCAGAGTTCTTACAAGGGAAGCCAAAATAGTCCAGTTCAAAAGCAGGTCTGATTTCCTGAAGCAAGCACAAGCCCTTCCCTCCGAATCCAGTGTCAAGAGTGAGCGGGATGAGGATGGGACCCCAAGCACAGCTAGCCAAGGTGAGTTCCTGTTTTATGGAGGATAATGAGCAGGGAGGAGCTTCCCGCCAGGGCTGTCCCCTTGCGAGCCTTTGATGTCCAAAGGGACAAAGAGAGGAAGGATCTGCAGCAATGGCTGGGGCTAGGGGAAGAAAATCAAAGAGAATTAACATGGCTTTGACATACAGGAAACCCTACAGGGGAAATGCACCTTGATTTACTGCTAACGCACTTTTAAACAAATAGAGACAAGACTGAAAGCATCAGTTGAGGACTCAGCTACAAAATAAAAACAAATGCCTTAAACAGCAAGGAGGGATAATTTCTCTTCGGCTGTTCCATGGGTTTGTGATAATTCTCATCTTCAGCACACAGAATCATTTTACTCTTGATTTCTGGTATCAGAATCAGAACGGCATCGAGCTCGTTCCTTCCCAAGTGGGTGATTTACAGTCTGTGTAAAGTTTGCTCTCACAACTGGAACCCTGCAGCAAGTCATCCCTTCACCCCCAGGTGCCTTCCCCAACAACATGAACACATTTGATGGTAAAACCTCACTCATCTGCCCAGTTTCTGCATTCCCAGCCCTTAACTGCACTTCTTTTCAGGCACTGAGGTTATCCTTTGCTCAAGGCACTGCTCTTACCCAGGGAAGGCTGAGCAGAAATCGAAGGGCTTGAGCATTTTCCCTTAATTAGTTTATTCTGCAAGTGTGACCATTAGCTTTTGTGCTTATAAGTGCTTACAAGTGCTAAGAGACAGCAATCAAGGCTCGAGCTCCAGGGCACAACACAGCCACTGCAGCTCCTGAGGAAGGGGGTTCTGTGCATCCACACACACCAATGGCTGTACAAACATTTACAGGACCAAGACAGTCAAAACGTGGAGCTCAAAAGCAGGATATCGCTCTGAACCGGCCACTGCTGGGTCCTCCACAGCAAATTTAGGAGCTCAAAGAACTTGCTATATAGCTGCCTCTCTTTCACTGTCTAGATTTATACCAAATAAAATAATTTTTTTTTCTCTTTTGTCAGTAATGTTACTGGGACATCTGATCTTCAGTCTGACGTACAAAACAAATTTTGAATTTATTTCATGAGTTTCTACACCCAAGCATTTCTTCAGTTCTGTTTTTATTGCCTTTTGGAGCAGGCAATGCAAGGACATGCAGAGAGGACAAAGGAGCTTAATCAGAGCAGGGACTGACTCTCTTCCAGTGGTATATTGAATTTTAGGCATCCCAGTGCTATCCAGGGAGAGAGAAACCAATTCTTAGTGTTGTAAGGAAGAATGTTTTAAAGAAAAGGGGGTTGGAGAATTTGGGAAGTCTTGAGGAGGATTTTATAGCAGGAGGTGGTGCACTGGCTCCTGGCACCTCTGGTGACATGCAGCCTTGCTGGCATCCCTTTTAAAACCCTGGGTAATGCACAACACTACAGGCTTTTCTCCCTTCTTGGAGACACCCAGAGCTGTGGAGCCTCAGCACCACTGAGGAGAGGAATACCACGTGGTGGGGAAATGTCAACTTGTAGCTCAAATAGAAATTATTAATTAAATATGTGGAGAAATAAAGCAGAAGGGAAAAGGTCAGCTGAAATGGTATCAAGGTCAGATCTCTGCTTGTGCTTGCACAGCCACTACCAGACACAAAATAGGATGCAGAAAAGCTCTTTGCTCTGCTACAGAAGGAAAGCCAGCATCACATCTGCTCCCCCCCTCCATGTCCTGCTTTTCTAATGCTAGTATTTTAATTGTAGAAAGAGGAAAAAGACAACCATAATCAGAATCTGAAAAGGAAAAATAGAACAAAAATTGGGTCAGATTCAAGCTAGCAGTGAGATGAATCAACATCCCACACAGTCAGAAACCGCACAACAGCAGCAGCAGCTCTGGGAATTTCAGACTTCACCTGACAGGAGCGTGGGATGTGTATCATGACTTACTGCTGCTTCCACAAAGGCTATGAGATGGTCTCCTGCTGCCACTTCATTTGCACACTGTGTATCAGCATGTCTGGGGAACGCACATTTGCTACAAGTACTCAAATCCTTTTGGCTTCTCCCAGCTGATTGATGAGGAAGGTGGAGCCATTAATTACCCATGACTAGTTAACAACCAGTTTTCTCCCAGCCATTCTAGTTGCACTGGAAATGTTTTAAAAGTGAAAAAAAAAGTGAATTTGTTACTATTACTGGAAAGTGGGGCTAATAGGAGCAATCCCCAGGAAATTCATCCCTAGCAAAGAGGGAATTTAGCACATCACCCTCATCTGTCCATCCACGGAGAGCCCTCAGGCAGTTTGATGGGAAGTTGGAGGTAAATGTGCTGGTGTCTAACAATTCACTGGCAAATTGGAGGCTGAGGGTGTGGAAAGGGATGGGAGAGAGATGGATGTGACACGTGTAAGCCAGTGACACACACACAGCTCTGCTCCGAGCCCCTTTACAGCAGCAGGGATAAATCCAGCTCTTAACAGCAGGCTCTGCCCTGTGCTGAAGGGATGAGGTAGGGCAGGAGGGAGGGGATGTGTGATGACAAAAGCAGAGGCCAAGAGCTTTTGCTTTGCATCTCTTTGAGAAGATGATTAGAAAGAAACATTCCCCCTCTGGGTTTTGTAGCAAGGCAAATGTTTTCTGGCATTTCTCCCACCTTAAGTGAAGGTTTAACCCTTACTGGACCCTGCAGGGAGCTGGTTTGTGCACAAGAACTCTCCAAGAACACAGTGATACCTTGCAATCGCTGGCTGCTGCCTGGGGCTCCCAGACTGCTGGAGAACAGATAAGGTGTCAGGCTTTGGCTAATGGGGCTGGAGTGGCACTGCAGCCTCTGCCCAGGCAGAGCTCCCAGGGAAGCATGCCCAGAGAGCAAGCTCCAGTGTGGGGCACAAAGTTACTGCCTGGGAGACAGCTGAAATGTAAAAGTCACCTTTCAAAAGAGCCAGCCTCGGATCAGTGCTCGTGGGTGCAGTAGCCAGTACCCAACCCTCAGGTTTCCCTCTCTGACAAAGTGTTGCCATATCAGCTTTGACAAACTGGGCTAAAGCCAGGCTGCCTTGTCCACCTGGATCTGCACAAGCAGGAAAGGACAACATGGAGCAGTGCAAACTGCATCTAAGAGATCCTCCCCTCTGAAACGTGAGGAAAGCCTTCCTGCCACTGAAATGGGACTCATTTAGCTGATTCCCACCCGGCACACACAGGCCACAGCCCCAGAGCAACTTGGCAACTCTGTGAAGGATCCTCTGCCATCTGCACAGATGTACTGGAAAGTGAAAAGACAACGTGTCACCAACAGGGCCCAAAATAAACCAGCTCATCACTGATACCTACTTCATTAAAAACATGAAGTGGCCTCAGATTCTCCAGAATCCACAAACTGGCTCCTTAAATCCAGGCTCATCTCACTGTGGAACAAATACAGCCTGGTTTATGCACCCAGGGCCATGGGGAAAAGCTGAGATTTTCCAGAGAAAAAGCCTGGTGAAACTGTTGCTCCTACAGCTGTGCCAGCATGTGACTCCTTGTCCTTGTTAGTGCCTCACACATCACCCAGAAAATAGGAAATACAAGTGCAGGGTTGGCCAGGACAGAGCTGCTGAGCTCTGGCAGCACAGGCACAGCCTGAACTTGGGTAGCTTTCTGAGCAAGTCTCTGTGGGTGGCTACAGGAATGGTAAAAGCCTGCAGAGTGTTTTGAGAGCCTCTGAAGAAGTGGTACATATCTCCTATCATGCTGCAGCACAAGAAACAGTTCCTACCCAGCTCCTTACAGCAGCTCACACAACACAGCATTTTCTTCTGATGGAGGGAAATGGCAGCTTTTCCCTTTCTTTTCATGGTTTTGATTGATTTTTTTCCTGAGAAACGCTATCTGGTGTCTTCAGGTACATTACAGGTGTCATGCAGACCTTCCTACCGTGGGACCAATGCACGGGACCCCACAGAGACCCCACATTTTTCCCGTGTTCTCAAGAGTGCAAAAATGACATTTGGCAGACCAAAACAGCTGTTTGGAGAGGGCCTGTTGGTAACATCTCCACGCTAATTCACCACAGGGTCCCAGGACAGAGGCTCAGTGAGCTGTGGGGATGGGTCACGGGCTGCAGGGCAGCTGTGACAGGATCTGTTCTGGAAGGGAACGTGGGAAAGCAGCTCAGGTACACAAGAAGTTGTACATGATAAGCTTAACACAAGACTTTTCCTTTTGCAGGTTTGTGGATTGAGGTATCTGGCTGCAAAGCTGAAGAGGACACTCCCCTGCCTCCCTCCCTGACATCTGCCCTGTGCAGTGCAGCTCTGCTCCCATCCCTGCTCCCTGCTCCCATCCCTGCTCCCATCCCTCCCTCAGCATGGGCACAAGAAGGGAAATACTTAGCGGCCACTTAACACTGCAGGCTGAGCTCTGCCTCAAAGGCTGCAGTCCAGAGTCAAATGCAAAATGTGTCTGTCTAGAGCCCTTTCAAGTTCTCACAGACTCCTGATGTGGGTGCACTGTTTTCCTGTCATCCCATTGTGTTTCCCAGACACAGCTGAGTGCTCTGTCCAGCTCAAATCCACAAAAAGAACCTGTTGAAAGGACCCGGGGCAGCAAGGACAGCTCTGCAGACAGCTCGGCCAAGGGCACCGAGCAAGAGCTGCCTTTCCAGCCCTGCATCCTCCCTCCCACGCCTGGAGCTCCAGCCCTGCATCCTCCCTCCCTCCCACCCCTGGAGCTCCAGCCCTGCCTGGCAGCCACAAAAGATCAGCCCGAGAAAACAGGCAGCAAATACCTCTGGCTTAACATCCATCTAGAATTACTTCTCTGTTTGTACACACGTGCACACACTCATCTGCAAAGAGAAGCATCGGCAGATCTTCACAACTGCTGGCAGTTTATTTAACCATGAATTGAGACCAGACAAAAGCCCTGAGTGGAATGGATTCTGCTGAGCAGAGGCCCAGCAGGCAATACTGCAGCAATCTCTGTT